AGAACTTGCTCTTCAGTGTCGATCCATATCAATAAGCAAATAGACATATACCAAATTATTTAAAGATTTATATTGACGTTTTGAATTCGATTGATCTAAGTAAAAACTATATCAATATTTCAAAATCTAAAAAAAACTTACAGTTTAGTTCTGATTTAGCTTCATCTACATAAGTAAAATGGATTGATACCAAACTGTATAAAGATTTACATTTGCATTTCGAACTCGGCCTATGTAAAGAAATACAATATATATATATATATCTAAGAGTCTCAAAAAAAAAATTACAGTTCGATTCTGATCCACCTAAATAAATAAAACGTCAATATTGGACAACCTGTATAGACTTATAATCAATTTCAATTTATATCAAGCTAAATAAAAAATGCTCCTATACATAGTAATAGGAAAAATGAAAGTGCATACTCGATCCATCTAAATAAATAAAATTGAAATATACGATAACCACAGAAAGAACCTACGTTTCAATGTAGATCCATATCAATAAGCAAATACATATGTACCAAATTGTTTATAGATTTATATTGACATTTTGAATTCGACCGATCTAAATAAAAAACTATATCAATATTTCAAAATCTAAAAAAAACTTACAGTTTAGTTCGGATTTAGGTTCACATCTAGATAAGTAAAATAGTCGATATCAAACTGTATAAAGATTTACATTTGCATTTCGAACTCGGCCTATGTGAAGAAATACAATATATATATATCTAATAGTCTCAAAAAAAACTTACAGTTCGATTTTGATCCACCTAAATAAATAAAACATCAATATTGGACAATCTGTATAGACTTACAATTCAATTTCAATTTATACCGGGTTAAAAATAAAAAGACTCAAATATACAATAACAAGAAAAAAAAATGGTAGTACAATCTAAATCCACGTAAATGAATAAAATTGAAAGAAACGATAATCGGAAAAAAACTTACCCTTTAATATCGATCCACGTAAATAAGCACATACACATGTATCAAATTGTTTAACGATTTACATGTACATTTCGAATTCGACCCATCTAAAGAAATGCCATGTATATATATATAGGATAATCTCAAAAAAAAAAAACTTACAGCTTGATTCTGATCTGTCGAAAACGTCAATATTCGACGACCTATATATACTTTGAATTCAATTTCAATTTATATCGGGCTTAAAAAAAAAGATCGAAATGTACAATAACAGAAAAAAAATTAAAGTTCAATCTGAATCCGCCTAATTAAATAAAATTGAAACATACGATAATCAGAAAAAGAACTTGCCCTTCGATGTCGATCCATGTCAATAAGCAAATGGACATGTACCAAATTGTTTAAAGATTTACATGTACATTTCGAATTCGATCGATCTAAATAAAAACTACATCAATATACCGAAATCTAAAGAAAAAACTTACAGTTTAGTTTGGATTTAGGTTCCCATCTAGATACGTAAAATGAATTGATACCAAACTGTATAAAGATTTACGTTCACATTTCAAATTTGATCCATCTAAAGAAATACAACATATATATATATAGGATAATCTCAAAAAAAACTTACAGCTAGATTCCGATCTGTCTAAATAAATAAAAAAATCAGGATTCGACAACCTATATAGTTTTGCTTTAGATTGGGTTAAAAAGAAAAAGATTCAAATATACAATGATAGAGAAAAAGTTAACGCGCAATCTCGATCCACCTAAATATATAAAATATCAATTTTCGATAATCTATAAAGACTTACATTTAAATCTCGTTTTTGGATACTTAAAAACAAATAAAATAGACGTATATCAATATATAGAAAAATTTACAGTCCGATTACGATCATCGTAAATAGAAAAATATGAAAGTGCAGTAGGAGAAGAAAAGTCTACCCTTCGATCTGGATCCACCTAAATAAATAGAATTTAAATCTAGAATATTCGGGAAAAGGTTAGGCTTAAATCTCTGAGCACCTAAAGAAATAAAATATTATATATTGTATATATACTTACAGTTCAATTGTTCGATTGTGATTCACCAGAATGCATGAAATATACATATATCAAAATGTATAAAGATTTGCAACTGAACTTCGATTTTGATCAACCTAAAAGAAAAAAAAATGAATATTCGATAGTCTGGAAAAAAACGCACTCACCGTGTGAAAGTACGTGATTTGTTGAACCATGTATTATTTTTATGTTTCAATGTTCAATTTTGAATGAAAATTTTTTGAAGTATCTATTCTAACTATCAAAATTTCGGGTTTGCTAACAATAAAATTTTCAAGTGTCTATCACAAAGAAGTGGAAATTTATTATAGCAATCAAAAATCTTTTCAGAAAATGTTGAGCAATACGAAAGAGAATAAATTTCGATGGCTTATATGTCTCTTATTTGACGAATTGTCTCGAGAAAGTAATACTTTAAAAAAGCCGACGAACGAATAAATGAATTCCTTCTCTTATAAGAAAAACAAAAAACGCTAGTTCTTTTATGATGAGAGAAGAAATAGTGAGACATATAAAACAGTTTTTGTTGCCATTGTGAATGTGTCCTTATTGTCTGTGTCGTTTTGGTCGGAGATTTCTCGTTATTTTTTGTTCCGATGCATCAATCTCCAGAGACAGTTGCTCATAATCATGTTTTTCTTCTGCTTTGCGTTTACGATTTGATTGTTGTTGAAATGCTGTTGGTTTTTCACATGTTGTTGGTTCAATTCGTTTTGGTTCAGTTGGTATTGGTTCCATTGATGTTGATTCTGTTGACGTTGATTCTATTGATATTGGTTCCATTGATATTGATTCTGTTGATATTGACTCAGTTGATATTGAATCAATTGATGTTGATTCATGTGATGTTGATTCCATCGATGTTGGTTGAACTGATGTTGTCGTTTGAAGTTCAAAAGATATATTTTGTTCTTCATTGTTTTCACGTCTATCATTTAAATACGTATCATTAATTTTTGTTTCTTCCAGTAATGCAGCATTTGATGATGAAGGATTATCTTGAAGTTGAATGTTGTATACTTTACAAAATTTTCGAATGACATTTGATTGTTGTTGCTTATCATTCATGAAATAAACATATAAAAATCTAACAACAGTACGATACGTTGGAAACGTAAGATTCATCAAACAATATAAACCAACAACTAAAGCCAAAGATTGTTCCATAGAATTCGATGAGCAAATGAAGGTCCAATCCACGTAGATTTTAATATCGTTTTCCTCAATTACCATTGTTGGTTGAGGAGTAACTGGTTTCTAAAAAGAATCAGAAGATCAATCGAGGTAAATTAAAAAGCATAAGCTTCAGAGAAAAGGAATGTAATAAGAACTTCTCTTTATTGTGTAATAAGAGATTATGCCGAAGTCAAACAGAGGGGATTTTTCATGTGTCAAAGTTTCTGATAGAAAATCAATTTTATAGAAGCATCTATATTGTGCATGATACTTTAAAATATCCGATTGATCGAATAACATTTATGGCCCGCTAATATCCGCATGTTTAAGAAAGTTTAAAGCAAAGAACCATAACGTTGATAGAAAGTCTGTAGTAGTCAGAAGTAAAGAAAAACTAAAATAATAAGCGATGTCTCTCAATCAAGCTAAGAAGACTACCTAGCTGACTAGAACACAAGACCAAATATAACTAACTTCTTCTATTCTTTTCATGTTTGCGATATTTCAGAAAATTTAAAAAAATTTTCAGATAACTTACATCAGGATAAAAGCAAATGTAATGTTTCCATGAGTCGTTTAGTATACTACATAATACTTTAAAACAACGAACAATTGGATCATCTAATAAACAAGATTACTGTTTGGTATACTATAAACTTTTTTCCTACCTGTTAAAAATTTATCATTAGAACAAATTTTATTAGAAAGCAAATTCATTTTTTCTTTAACAGAATGATCCAAATCTAAACCTGTTAATAATTTAACATCTGTCAATATCTAAAATGAAAATGTGATACTGAAAGTCTTGCAATTTTTTTTACCATAGATGGATTTGAATAAACAGGAAAACGTTCCATAATATCTGCAGTTGTGTTTTCCTTGATAAAATTTTGTCGATAATCAAAAGTTTCAAGCCACAACCGTTGATAATGTTGATCATCAATTGATTTATTTTGAAAATTTGTTTTAAGTGTTTCAGCTTTTTCTTCCATTTGTTGTATTTCATTAGGTGTATCTTGAATGATTGATGTCTAGGAAAATAAAAACATACATATCCTTTTGGCTGTTTTTAGTGTAACTTACTTTTTTTGATGTGTTTCTTTCTGATAATTGTGTTGTTGAATATTTTTTGATTTTTCTTCCGGACTTTTCTCTTGAATATCTAAGCTTCATTTCGATTGTTTTTTCTTCATCGAAATTTTGTCTCTCTCGTTTGTATTTGGAAATGAGAGATTCTCGCCATGAATTCTAAAATATCAATGATTATAATATTGATAGGATTATTTTTCAGATTTACTTACAGATGTTTTTGGATCACGTTCAATCTTCAAATGATTAAGTATTCCATTAACAATTGTTGTATATTGTTCTCGTGTCGGATATCTATGTAGAAAAAAAATATATAGATGAATTCATTTATTAACATTCCAATTTTAAAAGTTTAAAACTTAATAAGAAACAAATGTATTTAATATGTTAAAATCTTCTTTATATTTTCCTATACAGTCTATTGGGTTTTGTTATTTTAACATAATGACTCGTCTCTAGATTTATAGAAAACTCCTCAATAAATAAAAAAAGAACTTAAATAAGACAATAAAATATTATACTTACATCAAACCATAATTTGTTTTCAAATCATGAAAAACAGCATCTATAATAATTGAACGAAAGTTGCAAAGTTTTTCAAATTTTTCCATTTGTTTAAGATTAATTGCATCGTTGACTTGACTCGGTAACACTGGTAATAAATAAGGATCTGGAAGAGATTTTTCTGTTAAATTTTCAGTTGTAATAATAGTTTCGATAGATGATACATTTATTGATGCTTCTGCTGATTGATTTTCATGTTCATCATCTTGTTGATTTTCATCTATAATTAATAATGCTGTATCATTTGGTGTTGATGATGATGTTGGTTTTTCGTTTGTTTTCGACGAAAATAACTTTTCTCTTTCTTTCAAAAATATAATTTGATTTTTGTACGACAATTTGAATGGTTTCAATAGATTCAAATCGTTCATATAGAACAATGTTTCACCATCAACTTCTTCCTCTACAACAAAAAACAATAAAAATAAAAAGAAGGTTCTGGTTCGACAATTCTCAAATTGTGAAAGTTTAGATCTTAAATCACAGAATTAGATTAAAAAAGAAAAAAAAGCAGTATGCTTTATATCCTAGAAATGTCAATTTGCTTTTGTTAGTCTTGATGTTAGATTAACAACATGAAAATGATCTACTTTATATAAGTCAAGTCCTTTGTGATAATATTTTAAATTATTTGGTGAAACTATGTCAAGTCGATCATATGAGCTAACTCTGTAGCTCCATAGTTTAGTACTAAATCCATCAGTATTCAGAAGATCTACAACGAATATCCATTCTTGATTTAACTTTAATATATGAACTATTTGAAAAAATAATGGAATTTCTTCTACATGTTCTAAATCATAAATATAAACGGCATATTGTTTGTAAATAACATGATTATGAATCAGTTGCGAACATTGAAACAATGTTTGTGATTGAATAAATTGTTGTCCATATCGACGAGTGAGAAGAACCTTGATTTTTGAATCTATTTCATACATATGAATTATTTTATTACCACTAGCTTCTTCAAATGCTTTCAAGAATTGACAGTTGGACAATAAAAAGCATTGTCGAAGTTGTTGTTTTTGAGCCAATGTTTTCGGGATATTCTTGAAATTATAAGATTGCATAGCAATTTTTTTGAAATACAAATGGGCACCCTCATATCTCATACACCAATACCTTAGTGGTGGACCATTTTCCTCAATTATTTTTGTATACTCAGTAGCATAATGTACCTTCGGTGTTGCTTTATCTGGCAAAAGCTCTAACATCATACACTGAAAATTTATTGATAATGTTTCAAGATAAGGAAGCCAACTTTTTCGTTGAGGCAAAGCTAATATTATATCCAACATTTCACGCAAAATGAGGTAAATTTTAAATGATTTTAAATGCTCGATCATATCAGAAAAGATGATTGGGAACAATCGAAACAGACAGAATTTTTGAGCTGCACTTCCAGTAATACGATCATTGTTTAGATGTTTAACTTGTATAGAAGGAGGTTTATTCGATGCATCTAATTCACCATAAGAAAAATTTTCTGTTCTCTCCTGAATAGCAGCAAAAGTAATCAGCTTTAAATTTGATGCTTCCTTTAACATCGCCATGATAATGATCGGGCATACACCTAAAAAAAAAGAAAAAAAATCAATCTACAAGCAAAATTTTATCTTATGAATAGTTACCTTCGAAATAATCGTGCATCACATCTCCCGGAAGAGAAGCAGTTGTGTCAAAATTTATTAAATTATCAAGTGGACTTGGACCAATAACACCATACATTGATTTTATGTGTGGATTATTTTCAAGTAATTGTAAACATTTTGTATGTTGAAGATGTGTTCGTTGAATGAAGTGAATATCGGTTAATGGTATAAGTCGATTTTCATAGGTTATTAAACATCTCCTACAAAAATATCCGGAACTGAATGTTTGTTGCATACCAGCGATTTCATGTGCTGCTAAATTATCAGCAGCAATTGTCGTAAATGTAAAATGTAATTGACTGTTAAATGTATCAAATATTAAACCAGTAGATTGCAAATCATTCAAATCATTTACAATCGGATCATAAAATTTTCTAAGTTTTTCATCATTATTCAGGTTTTTTGTGTAACAAATAGCTGCAAGATTAATACATTGTAACGTAGATCGAAAGATATTCGGTATATCTTCTAACATGAAGTATACAAGTGTCAATTTGTGTTGGTCCTTCTTCGGACCTATCGGATTTGTGACACCAATGCCATCGACATATAATTGAATTAAAAATGATTGATTTTTAAATATTTTACCTTTAATACCGTCCCGTCTTGAAAACATTAAATCTGGATCATTATGTGTTATTGAAGTTTGATGTTGAATATTATCAATTAGAAGTGGTATCATTTCATCTTTTTGTAAAATTTTCTCTAAAGTGTTTCGTATAGGTATATGATATGAATATTCTTTTTTCAAAGGATTTGATGATAAAACATTTTCTATAGGTGGTGAATAATTGAAAAACTTTTGACAAGATTGTATAAATTGATATTCATTTCGAGTTGAGAGAATAATTGATTGTTCTATCTGCTTTACTGTTTTGCGCATTCCATCAACAGAAATAGTTGTTGTTGATTGTTGTTGAGTCATATTTTCTTGTTTTGCTTGTTCTTCTACAAGCTCAACTACGCTATCTAGTAAATTGATTATATGTGTTGTAATGGATTGGATCACTGTTTGAGGCAAAATGTGTTTTTCTCTCATTTCAAGTAAAAATCGGATGAATTGTTGTTGAACTGTAAGAAGATTTATTTTTTCATCTTTACTAGAAATATTTGTTGTTAGAGTGTTCCATTGATTATCAAGATCGTCATCAAAATCTGCATATATAACATTGTCATGATTATTATCAGCTGTATCTGGATATATAACTGTTGCATCAGGTTGCTGAATTGCTAATGTATTCATATCATTAATAACGGTATTTTCTTGTTGTTGACATACTGGATGAAGTAAATTTTCATGATGCCGATGAATGTGCTTTTTGTATGACGTAAATGTTTTATACATAACACCACAAGAGTCTGATATATCACATGTTAATCGAAAATTAGGTTCATTGGCATGATACAATGTAACATGACGAAAATAATCACAAAATTCATTAAATGATCGATTGGTAATGCAAATTTTGCACAAAAAGACTCTAGTGGACATCACTGAGTGATTGAGTTACTTAATCTTACAATAAAGAAACAAAATCATTTAACTAAGTATCACCTAATACGCCGTATACAAAATCAAACAAACTTCTAGATTAAAGGTGTAAGTCAGCTTATACAACGCTAGTTTCCTAGGAGATAGTACCTAGTAAAAAACATCTAAACTATGATAGGTGGAAGAGAGAAAGGATAATAAGATGAAAGAATATTTATAAATCAACCTGAAAAAGAGATCCATTACATATTTTATAGGACTCACTTTGAAATTCTTTAATTAATTCATCATTTGAAATGAAAGTACGTAGCCAAGTCGCAACATCATCTATTTCCCACGTGAATGGATCAGTAGTATTCATCTATAAAAAAAAGCATTCAAACTATTTTAAATCTTCCGTCTTTGAGGTACATATGTATTATTTTATATATATAACATCAAAAGGCTTAGAGATTCAGAAAAATCAATTTTATTGTCGAATAGCATTCAAAACGTTTCCTTATAGCGTGTTTGAATGATATGAAAGTGGTTTGAACGTCGTATGCACAAACTAAAAGATGAACAGGGTTATTAGGAAATCATGTGAACATGTTTTGATCTATTTTCAATCAGCTTCGCTCGTGTCACCAAACGTTATTTTTCTGGACCCGTCCCAACCCGTGCTTTTGGCTGATACCCTCTGCCCTGGTTAATCATGTAAAAAACGTCTAGGTTTCTTTCAAAGCAATCTTTTTCATATTGACTGTTTTCCTTATTATCTGTATTTTCAAGGCTAGTATATTTTAAAAATCAGATGTTTGTGAACTTAAACGAAGTGAGGTGTTCGAAATTTAACATTACAACTAAACATTGAAGTAGATGAGTAAACATCCTCAAACTTTACTTTTAACTTTCATTTAAACTTTGGTTGATATCAATGTATTCTGAGAGCATTCAGATAGGTACATTTAATAATCACGAGCATTTGAGATTTAATATTTCTTTTTTGTCCATTCTATGATGACTATGCAAGAGTGCACCTAGAAACAGTTTGTGCATTTTTTATCGTGACCAATAGTTATCATTACTCAATCTCTTGATTCAGTACCATATGAATAAGAAAATTATCTTGAGCTTCTTTTCGAAAACCTAAAGAATAGTCGAGAATTCTAACAAGAAACTGTTATATAAACGAAATGTTATAGACAACATCAGAGAAAATACAAATAATCACTTATATTAATTTTTGTTGTTTTTAATGAAAATTGTTATTAAATGAGACGAAATAAACAATTATTATCTCAAACTTGGATAACTTTCAGCCAACCGAAATGTGAAGACGACACAATCAATTCAATGTAAAGTAAACAATATTACAACACAAATGCACTGTTACGAATCTATACATTAGAGGCTTAAACTTTCATTTTTATTAGATTATACCACGTTAGCAGAGAAAACACTGGAAAAAAAGAAAGGCAGATATCATAGAATGATGATTCATTGTTCTCTTGACAAATATGTGGACAAAATTGTTGCAATCACATGTGGATGACAATGATATCATCACCTCGTTTTCGCTTAAAACTAATTTTTTTGAATGATTTGAAGTCCATCGATACTATCTTCTTGTAGATTAGTCAGCTAGAATAACTTTACAATGACAAATATTTCTAGTGTTCTTACTCTCTCTCACCTTTTGTGGATTCCAATTCTTAAACTTAGTCGGCGTTTTTATTAGAATTTTATCAAAACAGCAAAGAGAAAAGACACATATTAGAGTTAATGTTGTTATTCAATGGTTTGAGTTTTGTCAAGGCTATGTTTTTTGTCCTATACCAGTAGCCACACTTGAATTGACAATGTAAAAATGATGTTTGATTATTTTGAGAGAATGAAATGAATATGTATAAAAATATGTTGATGTCAAGAAGCAATCATTGATAACCAAATGCCTTGTGATAAACACATAGTCGCTTCAAGCGTCCTAATAACCGTTAAAATGAAAAAAAAATGAAGCTCGAAATTCGGATCCCCACCAAGTTTCTTCCAAATAGTGGTAAGGCTCTGACATCACTTAAGGGAAGCAGTTTTCGACTGCTTTCGAAACTTCGGAAGTCTTCGAAGGCTTCAAAAAAATTCGGAAACCTATTTAGGTTTTCCATTATACTTTTTTGAGTTTTGGAAGTTTCGCAAACCTTTTCAGTTTTCGATGAAATTCTTCGGAAACCTATTTACGTTTCCCATTATACTATTCTGAGATTTGGAAGCTTCAAAAACCCTTCCGGTTTCCGATGAAATACTTCGAAAACCGAAATGGTATTGTCGGATACCCCTTGGGGTAGAAAATCGATTTTGCTAGTAATATAGGTTTCCTAATATACCTTTACGGTTTCCCTCAATACCATCAGAGAATCCGAGGATACTTTTAGGGTATCCGAATCGGCATTCTCGAAAACTCTTTGGTTTTCGAACATTCGGAAACCAAGAGGATATTCCTGAAACCCATAGTGGAGACCGGAAACCCTTTTGAAAACTCTAAAGGGTTTCCGGAAGCGTATCCGAAGTAGTTTGGGTTTTCTAGGAAACGGATTTTTTTTAGAGTGTGGAAAGGAGTGATTGTGGAAATGCGAAGAAACTTGAGCTTTTGAGTGTAAATACAACTAAAATTTTATCGAGCAGTACGAATGGATGTCTAACGTTCGGAATATTGAATTTTTTAAAGTTTCAACACTCGTCTCTTTCGATACGCGTATAAGTTAAAGAAAAGTCTAAATTTCATACGTTTTTCGTCCACATTTTTATCAATAAGAGTTGTGTTTGAAGTAACCAACGTGTTCATGCTCATCAATTGGATTTTTTCATGGTTTTCTTTGTAAAATTTGTTCACTGATTCAACTCAAGAAGTTTAATGTGTTAACAATAAAACAAGGAGAATTATAAGTGTTTTACAGATTAAGCTTTCCATTTTCTATTTTTTTGTATTGTTTTCTCGTTCTACGTTTTCGAAAACAGGAATAGTATATAAAAACGCGCATACATACATGTAATCATTATTTTTTTAACTTTCTAACGTATAAGCACAATAATAATTACTTTGTTAACGATGTGAAATCACAGGTTAGACTGTTTTAATGCATATACTTTTTATTATTTACGTTGTTGGAACAATACAAACACGTGAAATGATTACGTTCTTGACAGTTTCACGCTGTGCTTTTGAATACGTATTCAAAGTTAATCTTTTATGTGTATTTTAACAACATTTTTTTACTATACTAAGAAAACATATTGATATGTCATATAAAGAGCAAACAGAGTGATTGTATCTAGAGTAAGAATAAAAAGTAGATTTAAAACAAAGACACTTATTTGAAAATGGATGAATGATAAAAATACTATGTTTGCTTATCTAACAGTTAACAAAGGATATGGTTAAAATGAAGAAATACCTCGTTCCATGATTCATCCTCGTTTAACAAGTTTCTAATAATAATGCCAACATGTGTGAGATATACGATTCATTCTATTTTATTATATTCAATCTTTCTTCAATGGTAAGCCGGAATTTCGCCACGTGAATTTTGACAATTTATTCAATGTTTGCCGGACGTTTAACGATGAAAAGATTGTCAAAATTCTAGTGAAAAATTAGGCAAATTGTTGAAATTATAGAGTTCCACCGATAGCCTTGCTTCATTCTACTGTAGCTCACCGGTAAGCCAGGATTTCGAATATCTCTTTTATTGTGGAGAGTCTTCCAAAATCCGACACAGATGCAAAAAAGCAGGTGACAAAATTCCATTAGGCCTTCTCCAATTTATTTTTTCAGTCAGGTCTATTCTCTTGGAATTTTTCTCATCTGTTAAAAGCAATCTAGGTGCCTTACTCCATTTTTCTCTTATATTCGTGTTCACCGAATTCAAACGCGAAAACTTAAAAAAGCGTCTAACTGCACCCAAAATGCAGCGTGCACTTGCACGAAAGCTTTTAAATGACATATATATGAACACGTCAGAGATGACAGTATATTCGTCTTGACACACAATGGAAATTTGTGCATACCTGCTTACTTCGAGTTCAAAAATTAAAAGAATTTTTGAAACTTCATCGACAACTCCATAGCTTAGGTGAAAACCATAATCGTCCTACACTTATAATTATACTTCTTATGACGGCTCCCATGTAAAAATAGCCAAAAATGCTCAAGATAAATTTTTATCTCAATCATAACTATAATGCAAATAGAAGCACCGATATTAAAACAGCCAAAGATAAATTTTGACTTCGGGTGAAGATGTTGTTGAAGATATTATCGACATTTATTCCACTGTGTCAATAGAGACGAGCATGAGTCGTACCTTTTCGAAAAGTGCTATACGCTCCCACGCGGCAACGCTCATATACGGTTACGCGGCTAGAAGCACTTGTGCCATGTCAAAAATTTTAGATAAGACTTTTAATTTAGTAGAGACTTTAATAAATGATTTTAAACATCAATCATTACTTTGAAAACATGGATCGTACAGAAAATACAATCGGAATAAAGATTGGTCAAAAAAAAGTGATTTCGACAGGTGAACCGAAACAAAATCTTTAGTAAAACTTCTATTGAACTTTACTCAACAGGTTATCCAGAGCGTTCGAAGAACTATTTTTAGAGAATCCTTGAAGATCTTCGGGAGTTCATCACGGAATCTTCAGAGGTTCCAGAGCAGATCTAGATTGGGTTACGAAAAAACCTCCAGCGAATTCATAGGAGGTCTCCAGAAACTCCTTAAAGGCTTCTCAATGGATCTTCAGAGATCTCTCAGAGGATTTCTGAACGGTCTTCAGAGGATTTTTAGAGGATTTCTGAAGGGTCTTCAGAGGATTTTCAGATGATCTCTAAGCGACCTGTAGAGATTGTGTTGAGATTCTCTGAATATCCTATAAGGATCTTCCAAGATTTCCTACAAAAACCCTATCAGCCCCTGAGAAACACCTGAGCTCTCCTGAAGATCACCTAAGGAACATCTGGAGACCACCTCAGGATCTACTAGGGATTCCCTATTGAGCTCCTACAGATTCCCTATGGCTCCCTTGTAAAGTTCATCAGGATATTTTCGTAGATTCAATAAGAACGCTCTAGGGAACCCCTAGGGATGTCTTGAAGAACGCCGAGGAATTTCCTGAGGATCTTTCAGACTGTAGGTGTGAAAGCCTGGAAAATCTCTCGAGAAGCTATATATAAGGCTTGGGAGTCCGTTTCAGAATACTGATAATTTGGGATGTGTATGCTTTGCCCATACGCTTAGCGGGCTGGTAAAACATGGACTGCGACTTGATGGATTTCGAACTCACTTTTTTTTAACATAAAGATTGATCTTTGGCCTTTTTGATCGTTTGTACATAGGTGTCTTTATTTCAATTATAATTACAATTGGGATGAAAATATATCTTTAGCCTTCTCAGCTGTGTTAACTTGAATGCTTGTTCGATTTTTTTTCATTTATTTTCGAAGTGATGTCAAGCTTTAGGAGTTTCATTTATATTCGAACTCGAATTAGGCATCTCATGAAATTTTTGCATATACATGCATTTTATTATTGTATAAGAGAACATAAAAGACTTTTTTTAAACGAACTCTTGCATGTACAAGCAAGGAAATTTAGAATAATCAAAAGAAGAAGCATATGTAGCAATCATGCATGAACACACATGAACACATAATAGTATTTTCTAGGCATAAGATTTGAAGATAGATACTTCGTTCTATAAGACGAACTTCTTTATCATTCGACTATCTGCGGACATTAGATATGTAATCAAAACTGAAAGATCTTATGATGGTCCAATAACTATTAGCTATGCGGGTACATAAAGTGGAGAAAAAAGTTTAGCACACTTTTTATTTTTTAAATTTTCCGTCAAGGATAACCTATTGAAAACATCCAAATGGTGATTTCAATAGATCTCAAAACGGCCTATAAAACTGAGATATGAACGTTTTCTGAAATACATGTTTCTAACTTTTTATTAGACAAAAAGTTTTTCTCCAGCAGAAAAAAGTTTAGCACACTTTTAGTATTTGACTAATTTTTACGTTATTTCACGACAGCTTTAAGATGTTCTATATACCATTCAATGCAGAATTTAATAGGCTACATTTTGATATAAAGCACTTAGACTGATATTAGAGTTAATTAATTAATAGTTCATAATAATTAGCAATCAATTAATAAAATTCAAATTTATTTTTAAATTCTAACTCTTTCACATGAAAGAGCATCAAAAACTGAACAAAGCTGTATAATTACTATTTCGAAATAAAAGTATCTTAACTTTTGATATTGACGAAAATCATTAATTGTATGTAAAAAATCGTCCAATTTATTTCATAGTATTGTTTTTTTTTGAAAGAAAACTATTAAATCAATAAATTTAAAGCAGAAAGCCACAATATCTAAAAAGTATCCAATAGATTTTAGCTTCATCTAGATTCGCTTTTCTTACTTATTATTTACGTTTGTAACGATGGTTTGAGGGATCGAGACAAAGGAAAGAAGAAACAGTAATGTGGTACGATATTAATCAATAGTAAGAATCTTTTCACTTACAGAAATAGAAAGAAAGAACGAAAGAAAATGGTGACTTCAAATGGGCGCATGTGCACATATACATCATCTATAGCTGTAGTGTATATTTTATGGACGATTATTGTCCATGATCATTTTCATGTTAGCTACTGTTTTACCAAGATGAGGAAAACAGAACAGAACAGAATAGAAGAAATAAGATAAAAATGAAATTTAATGAGAAATAATAAATCATACAAAAAAAAATAACGTTCTTTCAAACACTTGATATGTACGAGATATCAATTCAAGTCTATATTGTATCGACTATTGTTAAATTTCTTTTCATAATTAATAAAATTGTCTAAAACTTTTCTTATTAATTCATATGTTATTGTTTTTTCGTGCTCAGATAATGTTTTTTTATTCAGAATTCAGCATTACAAACATCCATTTTTAATGTTAGCCAGCAAAAAGAGGCACACTTTCAGTGCAAACACGATAAATGTTGTTGTTCTTTTCTATCAGTACATAAAATTTAAGTAACGAAAATTCCATTCAATTTTTCTTTTCACAAAGAATAAAAGATCATAAACAATTTTCATATTGCGCTTGTCGTTTGCCATGTATGCTGTCTTTGAAAGAATTGAGTAAGTAAAAGCTATATTGTTGAAGATGATTCATACAAAAAAATCTGTTAATTGATAAATGAAGTATTAAACATATTCTCATTTTTAGTGATAAAGACATACCAAATAAAAAACATGTGACAGTTACTCGATTTCAAGCTCCACCAGATGTCAGTTCCAATGCAACATCAATCCATCGACCGTTAACTACTACGCATGAAATAAAGGAATCGAACTCTACTTTCGAATATTCATATGATGATAATGATACAAAAATTATTGGTGAACATATTCTTTTTATTTACTTTGAGCTTCATACTTCATTAAATCGTGATTTTATTGGTCCACTTCGAGCAATCAATGATTATATTCAAATATATGTAGATTCTGTATTTTGTTTAAATTTTTTAGAATCTTCAAATGAAATAATATTTTTTATTTCTTCAACGAGTGATAAACAATTAATTAAAGAAGTTCATGATTGTAATGCTGTCGAAGCTATATTTATATTAAATTCAAATTTAAAAATAGACAAAAATAGATTTCCAAAGTTATTTGGCGTATATGTACATCCAGAAGAGCTTCTTAAATCGATAAGATTTGCACATGAATGGTTTGAACAGACACAAATGAATTTCTTTTCATTTGAATACGAGAAAATATTTCTCTGGTCACAATTATGGAAAGAAGAAGTAAAAGAATAAAATTATAAAACGAAAAAAAAATATCGTTTTTTTTTTTGTTTTTTATAGTTTATAAAATCAACAAATTCAAGTGCCTCATCGGATAAAGAAAAACTTGTTAAAGCGGCTGAAAAATATTATAGCGGAAATACAAAATTATTAGATTCTCTCGATAATTTTGATTGTTGTTATGATAAGAATGATGCTTTACAATGGTGTTTTTCTTCTCCATTTCCATCGCGTTTTCTTCATCATGCACTTAGTACTCGTAACACAAAATATATTGATCTTTGCCGTTTTCTTATTAATGATGTATCTCATGTTTTAAAACAACCAAATGATCTTAAATCGAATAATCAAATTTTCAGAGGTATAAAAATGACAAATGAACTTCTTGAAAAATTAACAAATCACACTGGCAAACTTATATGTCCAAAAGGATTTTTCACTTGTACTACATCTCGAGTAGCAGCTTTGGAACTTGCTCGATCACCAGATTATCGTCCCGATCTTAAACCTGTTCTATTTAAAATTTATTATAATTCATCAGTTCCCATTGGTGAATTACCTGCAAAAGACATGTCGACATTGATCGTATTCGATGTTTATATGGCTTTTCGAGTAAAATGGGTCAGTCGTGGTCCAGTATCAATTGTAGACTTAGAACCTGCAGATCAAGACGGACGAAATCTAGCACGAGAATACAGACAAAAATTTAAATCATCACAGTTACAAAGTTTACTTGATCAACTTTCAGTTTTTCCGAAGCCTCCTCCACGATTGCCACCAATTAAACGAGCACCAATACCGCCAACAAATCAAATGCCTAAAATATCACCAAAAAAAGTCAGGTAAACTCTTTCAATTGTATATGATAAAATTCTTATATTTTATGGAATTCATACTAGTCCACATGTTCCTGATAAAGTCGAGATACAAGCTGAAAAGATGGTACAACGTGGTCAAGTTGATCAAGCCATAGCTATATATAAAAATACGACAAACCAGTCGCCTCATGTTCTAAATAATATTGGTAAATTATATGCTGAGAAAAAGGGAGATTATGAATCGGCAGCAAGGTTTTATAACCAAGCACTGAAAATTCAAGAAGAGGTACATAAATAATCTTTTTGTATTGACGAGGAAGTAATCCAAAATTGAAACTCATCGTTTGAGCGCATACAAAAATCCACAAGAGTGTTTTGATGAAACTAGCAAAAGCCTAAAAGAGTTTATTCTCATGGGCCTTAGGAATCGAGTTATAATTGTTTTGCTGAATTTTCAACTCACTTTTAGATATTTGCTGAACAATCAAATAAAGGAAATTTCGATGTAAAATTTTGTCTATGATTGGGGTCTAATGATCTATAGAATATCCTAAAAGTCTGAGCCGAGAAGAATGTTCTTTTATCAAGATATTTAAACTTCCAAAAGATATTGACATAAGGTAGCCATATTACAAAAATCGAGTTTATTTGAAAATTCAATACGTTGACAAGAGAATATTCTTGTTAGTTGAAACTTTCAGAATATTATAGCATCATTAGGCCTAAATATGGGCAAAATTTTATATCGAAACCTTTCTTTTGATTTTTTAGTATAGACCTAAAAGTGAATCGAAGGTTTAGTAAAAATATTATAACTCGACTTGAAAGATTCATGAGGACAAATCAGTTTAGACTGTTACTAATCTCACCAAGACATTCTGCTAGGCTCAATTTTGAGCTCAAACGGCAGGTTACAGTTCGAGCTATTCCCTCGTGAAGAAAATATGAAAAGAAATGATTTGATTTTTCAAAGAAAGGAGAAGATGTTACCGAAACATTAACTCGAATTGGCATTGCTCATCATGATCGTAACGATTATGGCAAAGCTTTACACTATCATTCTCAGGCACTGAAGTTACGACAAAACACTAATCAAACATCAACGGCCACCAATCTTATTGGAATAGCAAATGCTCATTGGGGACAAGAAAATTTACCTGAAGCATTGCGTAATGCGAAAGAAGCGTTAAAATTGAATGAATCTGTTGAATCTGGAAATGATTTGAATTTAGCTATGAATTTAGCCGTACTGGCTAATATATACCATAAAGCTGGCTATGATGTTAAAGCTCTGGAATTTGCTCAACAAGCAATGTCTATTCTTGAACGTTATAAAAAAGCAGATTCACTTTTTTTAGCATCAATACTTAACAATTTAGGAGCAATTCAAGTGGGATTAGGATCATTTTCGGATGCTCAAATTAATCTTAATAGAGCACTGAAAATTTGTAAAAAAATTCTTCCAGAAGGACATCCAAAACGTGTTACAATGGAAAGAAATATTAAACGCATGAAAGAAATAATGAAAGACACTAAAACTACTGATAATAAGAATCCTAAAGGATCTTAATCAAAGTTTGAATTTGATAATGAAATGTATTGTTACAAACGATAAATTAAAATAAAAGACATTTTATTATATAACTTTCACCAACATCAAACTCGATATTTTGTCAAATTTCTATTTTGAATATCATCAAGGAGGATGATATAATGATATTGATAGTGTTTCATATATATTTCATTACATGATATCGACATTTTGTCGAATATTCAAAAACAAAGCACATTCTTTTTTACGATTCAGTTAGAAGAGAAAACAATAACAACTTATCAATATTCTTCAAAGAAATGTAAGTAGAAAACATAATCGATAGATCCTAGACAGAATTTGTTTTTCATCAGGTATAAAACTATGGCATGTTTTTTTTTTCAAAAAATAAAAAGAAATCTAATTTTCATTTCCGCTAAGAGAACATAGCGCTTACTTGTTTCTTTTAAGTAGACAGAATAGTCATTTTTTTCACAAATTCATAATCTAATATATGCATGAATGATGTCTTGTACGTCGATATTAGAAAATGATGTTCGAAAGTATTTTGATGAACAAGCAAATCAATATATTAATTTTTTTGAGCATCGAATTCTGAGAGAAGACATTTATTATTCTAGCATAGAGATTATATCAACTAAAAAGTCCTTCATTGTATTTTGATTGGAACACAAGTCAATAAAATCTAACAACGTAATATATTCATACTTTTACTATTGTCTATGAGCCAGGTCAAATTTAAAAAGACAAATACATATCAATAAAAACTACTACTCAAATAAACATAAACTTAAAGATTCTTTCTTTTTTTTTTCAAAGCTTGTGAAGAAAAACTAGATTTCAGTTGGATATACTAGCAAACTCTACAACTATAGTAGTGGAGACATTTGAGCAATGAGATGCACTATGAATCGAAATGTTCTTAGCTTAATACAGAGCTATCACACCAAAAATGATCGATGTTTGATATTTTCGGCGATTCTATACACTTTTCTATCTATTGTGTATATTTATTACAGTGCATATCTATCAAAACTAAATCATAAATACTAGAAATTATTGTAAACTATACTCTCTTTTTGTTTTTTTTTACGTCGTGACATCTGAAAAACACTGTTTTTATAGTTGAACATGAAATAAAATGAAAGCTTTCTAATTATAAACACTTCATTCTATCTTACTCTTTTGCGGGAAAGTTTTATACTGCTCTTGTGTATACCCTTGCTATCCATTAATAATTTTTGATGTCATTTTTTGCAATGCAAGGACAAAGAGAAGAGAATTTCACAAAATTGAAGAAAGACTTAACGATAAAACAATCATGAAATAGAAAAGCAGTGATATCTTGAATGACATATTGAGCAATTGAGTATTGTTAAACTTCAAAGTAGAAACAGCAATTTTTTTCTCGTTTGATAAGGAAAAGCTATACCCAGATCCATCATTCTGACTGTCGGAAACGGTTATAAAACGGTGCGTTATCGAATCCCAAGACGATGATAATAATCGCCAAGACGACCAAAAACGGTACTGTATACTGTAGTTTCATATACTTTGCAGTCGTAAATGGCTGTCAGTTGAGATTTAATAGGTGCGGTATTACGATTATATTTTATCGTGCTGTATACAGTTGATATGGATCCCCAAACGGTCTAAAAATCGACTATCTGACCGTTTGCAATACAGTGAAATACAATCATAATACGGTGCCTATCAAGCGATGTAAAAACCATCTAAAACGACTATTTACGACCGAGCCTATTTGACCTGGGATTGATTTTCATCGTATTGCATCGTAATCCGTCAGCCCATTCTACGAGTTTATGGAAAACGGCAACGTGATGAGGCCGGTATTTGCCGTTTGATATCGTTTACGGGGTCGTTTTCTTAGACCTGAGTATGTATATCACTGAAAATGCGTTTATTACTGGTATTTTTACTAAATGAACAGCAACGATTTCTATGAAGAAATCAGAAATAAACTTTTCTGATAGCAAAACCACTGTTTTTTATTGTTCTACTATAAAGACATTTCTTCACAACTTATATATAGCCATATAAAACGAATTCAAAACAACTCTTTTTACACGCCTCGATATTTATATCGTTCTGTTGAATTTGTACATAAAAATGAAACAATAATATTTTTCTTTTGAGGTTTTTTAATGAAAATGAATAAATAACATCTAATAACCATTTTCAAATTACACTGTCGCTCAACGTGACCATTCGTGTTGATAAAATTAAAAAACAGGAATTGATCTTTCATACTATACATTTAACTAAAGTAATCATAAGAATTCTTTTTTCTCTGATAAAAGACTCGTGAAAATATTTTTTTTGTCATACATGTTTCAGCATCGTGTTGTAGCTCTCAATCAGCTCTATCTACCTTTAAAGAGTGGCGTTTCCGCATTGGAGTCAGATGATGATCATAGACACCGCATAATGCTATTTTATGCAAAAATCTGTTGTGAGTAGGATAATTAACTATTCGGTCGAATATACTATGAAGTATTCACAAAAATTGTCCATATGAATCGAGAGTAGATATAGTGTTGAAGCAAGAAGCATTAACTCTTAGGTGGAACTGATTTCCGAAACGATTCTCGAATAGGATCGATTGGTGGATCAACTTTCTCCTGTCCTTTGTCTGTTTTCTTCGATAGCAGATGAGACGAAGGCCATTGTTTTTTGTTTACGTCTCCACGAATAATCAATCTTTTACTGTTAGTGGTCTCTCTGAAAAAAAAAGAATGAAGAAAATCTTACAGCCAGGCAAATGAAAAATTCAAGGAGAAAGTAATAGACAAATTAAAAACGGGAGCACAAAAAAAGGTAAAAATAACGAAAATAATTGATTGAAAACTTGAAAACAAAATATAAGTTAAACAATTATAATACAAGCAAAAGAGAATATTTAACTTTTGAGACTATGTAGATATTTATATTTAAAGAAGAAAAACGTATCTTTTTTTTTTTGATAACGGGATAGCTTCTCTTCTTTAGTGATTAATTGTTTATGAGCATATATGCTTCAATTCCTATTCAGTGCGCAACGTACACATGATTTTGCTAAATTGAAAGTATGAACTTCGATCGAAAAATGAATGATGAATTTTTTTATTAATAGACGTGCTGACATACTTTTTTTTTATTTGACGTACATCTCTTCATGGACGTACTGTTGACAAATTTAATCATGTGGCAACCAAAAAAACATTTCTTTCTACGTCATTAATAATGAGAACAAAATTGAAACGGTGTTTAAACATGTCTCAACGTTTTTATTCTTCTCTTTAAATGGTGTATAAAAGCAATGAGATGAAATTTTTCCTTCTTTTTCTTATTCTCACAAAGAAAGAGCATTCAAGAAATAATTGCACATTACATCATTACCAAGAATGCATATTGTTCTTGATAAGTTTGAGTAAGTGAAATTTATTTTGTATGCAAGTAAAATGAAATGTAGGAGATTGATTAACGTAAGACACTTCCTTTCTTAGTCTTGTTTGATTTAGTGAATTTCTTCAATATTTTGTGGGCTCATGAGAACACTGATTCTTAGCATTCAGTAGAATACATCAAAATTTTCCATTTACTTCTTGCTTTTTTCTAAGCCAAAAGCCTATAACAAATTATGTTGAAAATTAATTTGAAGTTAATATGGTAAAGATTCTTTATGACTATGTCACTTTATTCAAATTATTTGCGCTGGAATTGCCGACAACCACGGTGCATTCAATCCTAATTTCGCTCATATTGGGATTTCGATTAAAGCTTTTTTTTCGCGAGTTATGGTTGGTAAACAGTTCGGTTGTAGAAAAATTGAAAAGAAAAATATCGAAAGAAAAGCGTTGGAAAATCAGTGTAGAAGAGAAAATATCTCGAAGCTAGAGAAATAATGAAAAAAGCAATGTCTCCAGGATGAGCTCTGCGCTGGATGCTTCAAATGAAGGTACGAATATAGGTGTGGATGCGAGAGTTGGTGTAAGTGTGGGTAGAGGTGCGGCTGTGGATACACTCACACTCTTGTTAACAGTGTTAGACGATTGTAGATCCTGATAGACTCTGGTAGATTCTTTAAATAAGTGTCTGCTATAACATATAGAAATTTCGAATTATTTTGTAATTCATTTGCGTCATGAACTCAGAATGTGAATGTAGATGAGGGGAAGACTAGGAGTCGTCCCGATATCCCGCATTTACACCCACACTTCACACTCTCTAAATAGTTAGAGCAAGAACAAAATGTGAAAATTCTCCAGTGTTTTAGGATGCAACTGAGAAAAAAACACATGTTGATATACTGAAAAGAATCATTTTTTTATGTTAGCTCGGCGATAATTTCTTCTGAAGAAATAAAAGCACAAGATCTTCTTAAACATGGTAAAATTGATCAAGGCATTGCAATCTACCAGTGTTTGAAACCTGAATCAGCTCGAATACTCAACATTATTGGTATATTGTATGCAACAAAGAAAGATGATTATCATTCTGCAATCATATATTACTATAAAGCACTCAAAATTCAAGAAAAGGTATGTAGATAAACTTTTGTATGGAGTAAATTGATAAAGAATTGTATTTTCTCTTTTCATATAGAATGGTGATGATATGAGTAATACTCTCAGTGAACTTGGTATTGCTTATCAAATTCTTCATGAATTTGATTTAGCTTTAAATTATCATTCTCGTGCTCTCTGTATACGAAAGTTAGCTTATACTATCGATCAAACATTAATTGCGAATAGTCTTCTTGGAATAGCAAATGCTTATTGGGGTCAACAAAATTTAACTGAAGCACTTAACTATGCTCAACAAGCAGTCAATTTGAATGAATCAATTGAAACTGGAAATGAATTGAACTTATCAACAAGTTTAGCAATACTTGCTAATATTTATTACAGTTGTGGGAATGGTTATCAAGCACTTGAAGTAATCACACGAGCCTTAATTCTTCTTGAACGTTGTGTATCATCTGACTCACTTATATTAGCCTCATTTTTGAATAATTTAGGAACAATTCAGGTTGGAATAGGATTGTTTTCTGATGCTAAGCTAAATTTTGTTAAAGCATTGACTATCTGTAAAAAAAGTCTTTCAGAAGGACATCCACAACGACAGACGATTGAAAATAATATTAAACGAATTATTGGAATGGAGCAAAACAATCATCAGAACTTATGTTCTCATTTATGGAAGTTTTCGTTAAAGACTTTACTTACATAAACACAATCATTTGTTGAAATTGTGAAAATAAGAATTTTCATTGTTATTCTCGCTGATTTATTGTTAAAAAAATTTCAGGTTATATGTCACAAGTTAATCAATAATAGTAGCATTTGTTGTGATTGTTTTTTAACGTAGTTGATATTTGTAGTTGAATAAATATTTTGAAATATATTTTGTTTATAAGAGAGATAAAAAAAGGAAAAGAGAAAAAGAAATAATTACAATACAATGGGAACAAAATGTGAGAATAAAAGAACTAATAAAAGAAAAACAGATAACAATGGCCATCGTTAACAATTGATTGATTTATCCGATAAAGAAAATAGATAATTAGTCATAATAGATATAGGTTAAAGTAGGAGATGCAATCATACTGTATTTTTATCAATTCTCCATTTTGAAGATGAAAAAACAATCATTATCATTTGAAAAACACTACGAATTTTTCTTTTAAATTAGTTAGGTAGCAAATGTAGGAAAGAAATATAAGAAATCAATTATTTCTTACTGTTTCTTTTAAATTGTCAACGTGTTCTGTTTATGTTCTTCAGTAAACAAGTTATATTGTGACATATAATTGTTTTATTGTAATTCATAATTATTGTTGTTGACTGAAAAAGAACAAACGTTATTATACATCATGGCATTATTGTTTTTGTTTTGAATGTCTGAAAGAAAGCTATGAAATTATATATACTTTTCCTTTCATTCTTTATTGGCATAAATAATTGAATTTCGAAAAAATATATCTACATTATGATACCGTCGTCGAACATGGATATTTTTGTTGATGGAACTAATAATGAAAGGTTTTGTAATGTAAATAAAGAACATTAGACATATTCGGATCAAATTGAAGTTCTCACTGTCAAACTGACAAATTAAAAATAAGAGCTGCCCATGGTCTGTATCGAAACGAGACAAATGATTTTTTTTAGGTATTTACGGTATATGCAAGATATTCACAAGTCAAAATTTTAACACTATTTATTTTTCTTTTTTCGTGTTGGTTGGATAGAGCTCATCGAGTTGCATAAGAAAATTTATTTCAAACTTGAAAATAAATTTTCAAGATTTCATAGAAATCAGAATTTTTTGGTCTATTTTTCTTATATTTGAAGATAATTGTATCTTCGACCGTTTTCATTAATTTTTTAAAATTCTTTTTTTAAGTTTGAAACACATTTTTTCTTATTCAATTCAACAAGCTCTATCTAACGATCACACAAAAAGAGAAATAAATAGTCTTCTAATTTTGACTTGTGATTATCTTAAATATACTGTGAATACCTAAAAAGATCCCATTATTCCGTTCAGTGCACGTAATGAACAGCCAGATTTTAAATTTGTGAATTTGACAGTGAGAGCTTTAATTTGACCCGGATATGGCTAATGTTCTTTTCTAACAGTAACAAGCGTTCCATAGTAAGTGAAATTTATTTTTGTGTACAATGAATATAATAATGAGAATATTCTAGAACATGTCTGTTTTTCAAATGAATATTTAACTTATTTCGATTTTAATGCAAACTGTCGAATCTCTATTATTCATTTGATTTTTGTGGCACATCCACTTTTTAATTGTAAAAGATTAATAATAATAATAATAATAATAATAATAATAATAATAATAATAATGAATATTAAAAAAATCTCATTTTTTAATTAAGTAAATTCAAAGAAAGATAAATTGAATTATGTTTTTTGCTGAATTCTCGGTGTTTTTCGATCGTCATTGTAACGCTTTTCATCTATATTTACTCAATGAAAAATATTTCATAGTTTTTAATAGTCAAAATCTCCTCAATCGATCACAATACTAATTTCATTGAACAATAATTCGATTATCATCGCAACATTATCCACTAAGTATAACTGTAAATATCATTTGAGTAGTGGCTTTTAGCAATATCTAATCAAGAATTTAAGCTTTATTTGATATAAATGTCACATGCAATTAAAAAATAAGAAAAATTTCATGACTTTCATTAATTTACCGTCAAAACCACAAAAAAAATGGTATTTTGGATGACGAAACAACCATTCAAATAAATGCATTTCAATATCATTGATTAAAATGGACATTATAATCAAGCAAATAGAATGAATGTAATTTTTAATTAAAATCCCGGAATTAAATTGACGAAAATTTCTGTGTTAATCAATAAATTTGAAATACATTAGTTTTAATGTATTTTTTTAGTATCTCTCGGATAAGTGATGTTATTTAAAATATCAGTGAAAGATACAGCAATACTCATATTGTGTCATATGCATACTATTTTTTGAATGAGATATGTTAATTATGGTGACGTGTCAACTGTGAAAATCGCATAAACATATGCAACTGAAAGCACTCTAGAACGGTAATATCGGTTGAAACACAAGTCAGAAAATAGGCAACGTCTATTGGACTAACTTTAAGCTTCTTTAAGACTTTTGAGTCTATCATGTCATGCCTTTTCTTTTTTAACTTTTGCATGGAAAGGTGAAAATGTCACCAATACTTGGTTAAAACTTTCTCTGATTTATTAAAATTATTGTGAGTTTTATTCGAATTTAACATACTGTTCTCGTACGCTCTACATTGGAAAAAAAAGCGTGTCATATGGATCCAAAAAGTTTTACATTAATTTTGTTTGTGACATCACGTTGTAATGCAATATAGTCACTGCTCGATGTTTTGTTTTTGTCAGAAAGAGAAATATGTCTAGCGTAAAAATATATCAATGAATTTGACCGATAATGTATTGTAAAGACTACAAAAACTTTAAAACAAAAGAGATACTGTGAAACTCTACTGCCACTTCGATTACAATATTTTTGTCCAAATATATTCATTTGAACTTCAATTTGAAGTTGATGATCTAAAAACAAAGTTTTGGTGGAATATCTTACATAGAAGCTATGTCCTATTACAAATAATATCATTAAGTAGAAAACTTTATAAGCTTCCTTTTTTATATAAAATATATATCATCTGACAACTTCTCTCTTGCAATAGAATATAGGTATTTCAACTATGATTGACAATTATGAAAAACCAGCAATAACAAGAGATGTTATTAAAGTGTTCGCATCGGGCGTTGCAAAACACGTAGAATATTTCTGTTTTTTCTTCGGTCGAGTAATAGTACCCTGTTCTTACGCTATAAAACTTGAAAAGGAAAAATAAAACGAGAGTTTTTCTTATAGAATGAAATTTTTTCTAAATTCAAAGAATTCCGAAAGAGTTTTTTGATAAATTTTGTTCTAAAATTTTTGTGATCATTAGGAAGCTGTTTCGGACAAACTTATTGATTTATTTTTACAGAAGATATTTTGCTCTTTCTAAATTGTAAGACTTGATCTGAATTAGAACGAATAGGATGTGAAATTTTTCAGAATCGATATAGATTCTAGATGAGCACACGAAAAACAGAATTCTTATTATCATTTTCTGTTCTACAAAGCAAGTATCAAGTTGTCAGTCATGTTTCATTCTACATCATTTTGTGTTTTCAAATAATATGAATATCTTCTTAAATATTAATTCATTGAAAATTAATCCTGCGAAGATCTGATGTAATCGTATTCAATGAAGAAGAGTTTATTTTTTTTAATATAAATATATGTGCTTCAAGAAATAAGTTTTGTTTGCTACTTGTGAAATTAGTTTTTTGTCACCTGATTTTATTGAGCTATGCTAAATGAAAACAGAAATCTTTTTTTAAATTCTGAATATATTCATTATTGGTTTATCTATCTTTACTTTAACATTTAAATATCCACTACGGTAGAAAATGTCAAAAGAGGAATTGCAGCAACGTTTTTAGATTCTGTGTTAGGGTCAATCAAAAAACTCAATCTCAATGAGTTTGAGTTGTTTTAGAGTTTTCTTTCAATCTTTTGTTAAACCAAGTGATTCATTGAATTATTCTCCACTTGGTTGTCCAAGGCAAATATCCTTTTATATTTTTGGTGCAACAGTTTATTGATACAGTTCATAATAAATGAGATAAATTTGAAATATTCAAATTCTGTTATTAGATTTAGTGACATGTCAAATCATTACTCTTATTGTTCAAGTCACTTCTATTAGCACTTTAATTTGGAAGACGTCTTATTCAATTGAATTTAATAGATAAATCTTGAAATTTTCATAAGCAATTGATTTTGTCTATTCACGTATCACTTCATTTGACTTATTGTAGAGCTAGTGAACCTACAAGACGGCTACATGTTCTATCTTAGACTCATCTCTGAGACAGATCGACTTTCTTGTTAATGACAAACTATAGTTTGGATTGTTTTATATTCGAATCCAAAATGATACCACCAATTGTATTTGACACTGTGTAACATTTTATGAGTGCATAATACTTTGCCAAATTTTAAATATATATTTAAAAAAACACTTATTAACCTTTTCGAGTGAATAATCCAAACAAAAAATATGATGATCTTAATCATTGTTTTCTTACTTCTCAAATGTTATCAATATCATTAATTATAAAATTACTCATATTTAACAGTGGTGTTATAGAGATGATAGTTGAGTATAACTGCACCTACATGTAATACTTTCTTCTCAGTTACTAAATTTATTCTATGATTTATTTACTTAAAATCGATGCATTTATGTCTTCGACACATTCATATCTATTTAGAATTATTAGAAAATCGAAGTCAAATTTTAACTCGTCCCCATCCCCTGAAAATATTTATTAACAAAGAAAAAGACATTATCAATACTTAATATCTACTCTCGATCAATGTTATCGTTCGTATCTAAGAACAGTCGATTTCTTACGCCCTCTTTCGACAATCTATCTAATTTTCTTACTCGTTTCTCCAATCGAATATTATCAATGCTCACCAAAAATTTCAATCATTTATTTTTTAATCTTCTTCAAAAGAAAAGAAAACAATGTTAATCCCTCGTTTTTCATTATCTCAAACAGCAACACATCTATCAATCACAATTCGATGTCCATATGTGAAATTTTCTTCATCAAATGATGATACTAATGGTATTGAGGTTGATTTACTTTCTTCAAATGAATTTTATTTTGCTTGTAAACCCTATTATCTTCATCTATATTTACCTGGTCGTGTTATTGATAAAGGTGTACCTGAATATAAATATGATATTGATACATCATCATTTTGTTTTAATTATGAAAAAGAAATAGCTAATGAACATTTTCAAGATCTTGATATGATTACTAAATTACTTAATAAAGAAAATAAAATTTCATCAAATAAAATTGAAGAAATTGATAAAGTATTAAATAATGAAGATGATGATGATGATGATGATGATGACGATGATGAACCATTATGGAATCACATGAGACAACTTGAAATTGATGGTTAATTTAAAAAATAAAAATAAAACAACATAATTTTTCTTTTATTTATAATTTATTTATTTAGATCAACCAAAAGAGAATTTAATTTCTTCATATTCATATGGTTTTAGTCATCAATATAAAGAAATATTTTCAAATTTTGATGCTGAATATTCTTTAATATTTGATAATCAATTACCTGATACATTACCGACATCATCGATTCGTTCATGTCGTTTAGAAAAAGAACAATTTGATTTTAATTATGAACATTATTTAGCTGATAAACATGAATTAAATGATGAAACATTATTTAATTATAAATTAATTATAGATAAAGAATTAGATGATCAAGATCGAGATGATTTAAAAAATCTTAAATATAAACAACTTTTAATTGATGATCAAATACCAATTTATTTAGGACTTATTGATTTACTTTATGGATTTGCCTATGATCAACGTATAACACAGTAAATAATATACTATTTTAAAATAATCATAGCACAAATCTTAATTGTTTGTAAACAAAAAGTTGGTCACTATTTTCAAAACATTAATTGATGGTAAAAGGAAATCAATTTGACTTTTCTCAACATTAAAATGAACGCTTAAAAATAGGTTCATAACTGATTTCTACTCATGCAAATCAGTTTTATACATCGACTAAAAAATCAATAGAAATTTTTACAGATTAGGAACAAATATGGGAAATTATTAGAAATGATCGAAAATCAGAACTTGATTTTTGAACCATATTGTAATTAATTTTCCGAGATTTCCAATGATTTCAACTACTGGAAATCAGTTTGTTCTCGGCACATTCTCATACCGTATTAACATTTACGAAAGTTTTTAATGAGTATTTCTATGATCTATCGCAATGTCGCTCCAGTAGAACAATACATCGTCACGAAAGTGTTTTTTTTCGTTGGAATGACCTTTTCTTTACAAGAGACCATTAAAATGTATCTGTATAAATAATAATTAACGTTGATTGACATCATAGTGATCCTTTATTGTTTCCAACTGTATATTCGAAAGTTTAGCGGAAAGATCATTTGTTCTTTTGAAAATGATTTTTTTATTGAATAGTTACATCAAAAACACAAAATATACATTCTCCTATTTTTTGCTGATAAAAAGATAGAAGCAATCAAGATTTGTATAATTATGCCGACATCATATTTCATTAAATTTTTTTTTTTTAGAGGTGAACCATGTTGTGAATCTCCATGGAATATTCATAAATTATCGTCAACACTTTCCTGGTTTGATTCCTTTACTGATCTTCCATCTGTTCTGATTTCATGTTGTCGTCGAACGTTAATTTATCCACTTATTCGTTCATTTAAACTTGCAAGAAAATGCTTGTTGGATGTTATTGAAATTCTTTCTATGGGAAAATGTGCAATACTTCGATGTTTTCTTCAAATGAGACGTTTATTTCTTGATGAAGAACATCGATATCTATTAAATACACTTTATTTGAATGATTATTGTTTATGGATACAAACAGAATGTCAAACAAAATGGTTAAATTCATTAACAGAAGCAATGAAACATACAATTGACTATGAACTTGATGAAAATAATTTAGGATTAGATTTTGAGGTGAAAAATTTTTCTTGGAAAGTTAATTTATATGAAGCAAGTGATACTGATGATGATGATTGTGTATCATTATCAGATGAGGAAAACTGTTAAAGTTAAATAAAAAAAATTGTTCAAAACATACCCAGATTTAACTAAAGATCAACTTACATTCATATTTAATATTGAAATTTTGTTACTCGGTAGAACCTTTTTTATATTTAAGACCTAAAACTATGTGAAAATTTAAGCAAAATATCACAAAGATACATTATTAAACGATAAGAATAAGATATAAACGCTATGATTAATAGCCAGATTAATAATAGATACTTATCCAATTGTGGGGGACTCTTCGGATGTCCTCATACTCCAGATTATTCACGGTTGGTTTATTTTTGTAGTTAAATTGGTGATGCTTCTACATCGTTAATGTGTACAAGAGGCTCTCTGATTTTCGATGTACGGAAATATCGTTGATATGGCAATGATCAATGAACGTTTGAATCTTGTAGTGTATGGGTTAATGCAAAACAATTCATGGAATTAGAAATCAAAAGTTCTCTATTCTTGATGAAATACAAAGTGATTTTCTATCCATCAAAAATCTGTTCAAATACTATCTCATTTGTATCTTTACTAATCTTATACAGCACTAGATTCTCATACCTTGTAACGAACTTCATGAAGTGCGTAGTAATTTCGAGTTAGAGATGCTAATATCTTTGCTTTTCAAGAGATGGCTCAATCATTTTCAAGGTTGCTTGAAACATATATTTACCTCATGTTCTGTTTGCTTTACTTAATTTTCAAAGAACACGTAAAAGTGGTTGAAATTTGCTCTTATTATCATTTCGATAAGGAATGTTTACTCATTTATATCACACAGTTGAAGACTTCCATTTTGACGAATCAGTTTTGTTCACACTATCATTATACAATGGAAATTTTGTTGTAAGAAATGTCAAGGTGTCGAATCTTGATATTTTGGAAGACTGTATATGGTGCTATCAACTATGAAATATGTGTCTAATAACTGGCTTCAATTGTGGTTACAAGTCATAATGCCTCAAAAGTAGCATTTCCAGTGACAATGTCAAGAAATTCTCAGTTCGAATATAAATCATTGTAGATCAAAGTCATTAATCTTATGAATTATATAACGGCTGTTTAAGTGTTCGAACTCCGAATGTATGAAAGTTTCACATCTTCATTGAGAATTTAGACCAATAGAATGATTTCGACTCAATTATAAAGAGAATCATGATGGAGGGTGTTTGCATTATTGTTCGCTTGATAATTGAAAGAAAATTGCTTGAAAAATATTGCCCTATTGTAATCCCAAACTATGCTCAATTTTCAATATTTATTGATTCGAAAATCGATTTCTTCGAATGATTTTCGATACGCCTTGATTCTTCATCTCAAGCTCTATCCTGGCTTGCTTATAAACGATTTGAAAGCCGATATAATAAAATTGTTTGTACATTACGATTGATTTCCATTTATTACTGAGCAACAGAGACTTGAATAGTTCGTCACATTTCATATCATATAAGTGACGCAGTTTGTATATGCGAACTTGAGATAAGAATAGTATTTTTCTCCGTCATTCTGACTAGAGAGACAATCGTGTTGGTTTCTTTTTCTTTTGATGTGCTCTTCACACATGTTTTTTTTCTCTTACTGAAAACGTAGAACTTTTTACAAGCTATGCGACTCTTAACAGTAGGTAGACACGAATAGTATCGAGTGAAAACTGGAACTTTTTTCATCTTTTTTATATAAGTTCACCATTGTGTACTTCTTCAGTCAACTGTTCATATCGATTGGCGCAGTAGTTAATGGAGATGACTCCACATCTAACACATTTCCTGTCAATCTTGATTGGAGAACCAGAGGTGTTATTGCACCTATATATAGTCAAGGACAATCGCCCTACGTTGCTGCCATCACCATGGTTGGTATGTCGATACGTTTTCTGATATACATGACGACTTAACATTGAGGAAATATTTGTAGAAACTATCGAGAGTCTTTATGCAATCGAAACTGGAAATCTCACGCGTGGAAGTGTAGCACGTGTCATCGATTGTTGTCCAAAGTTCATCGTCGATTTTGAATGCATTGTGAGACTGGGTGGAATATGTCGTGATTCAGATTATCCCACCGCACGTGGCACCTGCGAACCGAATGCTTGCGTTCCATTTGCAACAGTATGTTTTAACTTTTGCCAAATAGTAAAATCATGTATTATGAAAGATACTTTGGAATATATCTATATAGTTCGAAAAACTGATTGTTTTTCGCGGATTGGACGATGAACAACTGGTACCTCTCATTCAAAACGCAACGCTACTTGTCAGTGTCGATGCAGCAAGTATTAGATTTATGGAATACCAGAACGGTACATATCGCGGATGACAGATCATCTTGAGATGTCTGGTTTCTTCAGAATAGAACTTAAAGATTAGTATAAACCTGAATCGAAGCGTTGGATTGAGTTTTTAGTGAAGTCCAGTGTGCCATCTTTCTAGAATATCGCAAAAAGAAGAGTAGATTACATTAACTGATAAAACGATATAATTATCATAGAAATAACTCCATCATGATACTCTCAGCGAAGCCTATTTGAAATTTATCAGTAAAAAAAATAAAAGTATTTCGAAAATATTCAAAACCGTGAAAGTCTTTTTCTCAGAAGAAACTTTCTGTGATCTAATTGGTGAATATTTATAGGAATATTCCAAGACCAGACTTGCTCGTCGACAACCATCGATCATCTACTCCAACTGGTCGGTTACGGTCAAAGTGAGACGGGTGAACCATTCTGGATTGCTAAAAATAGTTGGGGTATGTATATGTACTATTTTTTTTAATATAAATTTCGCTTAAACTATTCATATTGATAGGTGAGAGTTGGGGTGACAATGGATATATTCGAATTCTTCGCGGCAAAAATATATGTGGCATTGCTACACAAGTCTATCAACCGTTGACAGTGTCAAGAATGACCACTCCGCAAGTGCCTGTGACGACACCATCATTAGCTACTCGACTCTTCTGCACACCGACTTTGCTCCTTTTGATTGTTGTTTTTTTACAGATGAGTCTTTTTTCATTGTGACGAAGAGACTTTTAGAATTTATTCAATCAAACCTCATCGAATGAGAAGCTTTTTATGGTAGAGAATAGCTCTTGAGGGGAATTTTCAAGCTGAAGTCCAGTGGAAGAAAAGGATGGTTGATCGGCGAATGATCATTGCCAATACTATTTGTGGGCTACAGCTAGTAAAGGGCGATGTAATCGATAGCTAACGATTGAGATTGTCAGTGGAACATGCAATATCGATCATTGTTACTGTCATACATTTTGAGTCAATATTTTGATGTTGAGTATTAATATTTCGGGATTTGTTTTGCTATTGATGAAGGGCAACATGTAGACCGCAATGGAGGTTGTTTATATTCATATTCTGTACTAGAGCATTGTACGTTTAGTCATCGGATTATGAAAATTACTGAATAGAGCCAAAGCTTCTGTGCCATCGTTCATCTCAAGTTATCAAAAGGTCAACAGATGGCAAGAAATAACAATTCGTCTGGATATAAATCTCAAGAGCATCTTCTTGATGTTTTTGGCTTCGTCTAATTCGCTCAGAACAATCATCTATAGGCGTAATTGGTGCAATACAGCCCTAACATAAGCTATGTAGCGTCGCAATGCAAAAGCTATTATCGGATACTAGAATTATCTGGGATCATTTGAGAGCCCCCTCAAAAAAGTCACTTTTCGTCAGAATGATCGAAAATACGATAAATGCAGGGAAAGATAGTCCGTGATCTAATCTCTTATAAACGACAAAAATTTTTATTCGATATTTCGTTTTTTTTCAAAAATTTTGAAAGATTTCCGTCATCCCCTACTCGAAAAATATGCCATTTTTGAAAGAAGCCGAAAATCTTTTTCGTTTTTCTCAGTTTCTGATACGTCAAACGTGCAACCCAAACTTCTCAGTTCAGGTCCATGTGATGTATTTAAGTTTTTTTTTCTTCGAAAGAGCACGTCAAGAGACAGGGCACCACAGAGTCCTTTTTTTTAAAATAAGCTTTTTTACAATAATATAAGAAAACAACTCTATAGAAAGACCGCCATTTTTCAGGTTTTTTAAGTTTTTGAAATTGTGATGCCTTCTTTCCGCTTAAAAAGTAAGAATTTAAAAAAAAAGGACTCTGTAGTACCCTGCGTCCTAACATGCTCTTTCAAATTAAAAAAAATGAAACACATCACATAAACCTGGACTACGAAATTTGGGCTACCAAATTCGCTATTTTTGATCCTTGCTTGGTCAATATCTCCCTCAAACATCATGATATTGGGCTGAAAATTTTACCATAGCTTTTCCATAACAGTCCCCACATATCCTGAAAATTTCATGTCATTTGAATGTTCCTGGGCTGAGATCGATTTTTGAGGGGGTTTAAGTTTTTTTCATTCACTTTTCTCATAGTAATTTTTCCTCAGTACCAAAAATTACGTTGATGAAGAATCAAATCTTTCTTAGCTAAACTCAACAAGAACCAATAAATATCAGTACCTTTTGCTAGAAGGCACAGATGAAAAGGCTTCTATCATTACTGAAAATTATTCTATTTGCGTATTTCTTTTGGCTATCGGACTATTTCAACATAAAATCTATCGCTTTAGTTATCTTATTGACAGAAGATTATCTATATTCATTTGAAGCAGAAAGTCAATTTTTCTAATGATGAACATTGAATTTTTCAGTCGATAAACTTACTTCTTTTTCGGTAGGTTAAAGATTTTATTAACGAAACATATGTACAACGCCATCCGTCATTCTTTCTATGACAGGCTGCTTGAAAGTTGCGGTGGGTATTTCGAAGACTTTCAATTTATTCGCGATGAATAAATGCAACCCGAACTTCACCGATATCACAGACCTTGTTGTGTCTCGAGGTGTTATCGGCATGCAAATTACTAATTTGATGATGTGGCCAACAAATTCTTCACTAGTTTATTTTACACTCACTTGGATGCCACAACTAAATCAACTTGGATTACAAAACCTCTGCACGATACCTTTTACTGAATAAAAACTCTAAGCTTTTGATTATTCTAACGTATGTTATACCTGTGTGCGTATTGGATTGATTTCGTTTTCTCAGGAGAAAATTGCACCAAAGGTTTTGGGGAGACGAGCAAGTCCACTGCGAAGTATACCGAAGACGATACAATGGTCACTCACCTGACAATAGTACTAAAAATGTTTGATGAGAATATAGAGAACTATCGACAACAGTACATTAATGATAATTCACAGACACTAGCGACAGATTCATTTGGCGAACATTCATCTCGATCTTATTCATTTTCATCTTTTGATGTTCCGTAGCGGACAACGACAAGAACGTAATTCGTGTCGTTGTCCTCAATTAATGTGATGTCAGGCGAGGATATTCCAACACAAGTGACCCATCCTGTACAACTATCTGTCCTTGAACCTGGTGAGTCGATAGTTGTGCCAACTTATGTAGCACAAAAACAAACAAAAAGCAACTTTTACGATTGATTTCCATTTTTGATAGAGTACTGCATCGATCTCATCTTTCATAATTACAAGCCTATTCGACGAAACTTGCAAAGCCAAATACTTCTTTTTATTCATGGACATACGTGAAACTATTTTGTGCGTTTGCTATAGAACATTACATGCAAAAATAAAACGAATTTTATCATAAAATACAGAAGGAAAGGTGTAAGAGTGGCTTTGAGTCTGAGTAGTACGTACAGGAGTGTGGACATGGGGTGTGTAAAGGGGAGAAGATGGAAGCAGATGCAGGTGTGGACGTAAGTCTTATTTCCATTCTTCCCACGTCTACACTCAACACCTGCAACTATTTACCAGTAGCTTTTTCTCGATGCAATGAATAGCCAATGAGATTACAACTAGGTTTTTTCATGCTATCGGCATTGTTCTCCAAGATGGTTATACTCGTTTTGCTCAGCTGTATGGTTTAACATCACCCACAAAGGTGGAACACTTCGTGGATAGACCGCGCTATTTTTTTTTTACCTGATACATAAGCTCGAATGAGGTATGATGACGTCGGATCTATTCGATGTAATGCAATCGATGGAATATTTTCGTATTTCGATTTGAATTACAAAAAATTATCGTTCTCGAAATGATACTGACTCGCATAAATAGTTAGTTTTCAATTCGATCATTATACTGATACTGAGTTTTCCTAGGAAAACGCACCTGATTACTGTGATTGTTCAATTAAACAGAATAGCTCCCCCGTGGTTGATACCGTCATAAGGATGAATCAATGTTAGTACAGCGAATTAGCACCATCCATTATACGTATTATGATTATGTCAAACGTGGTGATTAACATTATACAATATTCTATTGCAGCGTGCGTTAACATAATGCACTCAATGCTTGTGCTTCTTCATATTATATGTCAAGGATTTTTCGAAATACAAAACTAATGAAGTATTGATTAAGGCCGTCAATCAAAATTGAGAAAATGGTAGAGCAAATAACTGTTGAGAATAACGAATAATTCTTTTGTATCTGAGAAAGAACTTCATAATCAGAGTAAAATGAAGTTCTGTATTTGAATGTTTGATTAGAGACATGCAGGGATACGACTATTCTTAGGCTTTTTGCGTGTTCTGTGTCTCCTACATTTAAGATGAATTTGTTATTACATCTTTTTCCACAACTGGCACAATTCAATAAAAATGTATTTATTTAAAACAACATAGACATTGGTGTACTTTTATTTGGAGAGTAATTTTGAAGCCTACTTTTCACTTGGTTTATCGTGAAAATTGACTTGGCGAACGTCAACGAGGTTATTTTCTCTAGCTGTGTCCAGATCTTACGAACAATACTCATCGTATGACTTCTATGGCATATTCCTATTAATAAATAGTGAATAATGTAAGATACAGTGAAAAAACTATTGTCTGTTTAAAAAAAGCATGAACATGAGTATTTTTGCAGTAACTCAAGAACGGAAAGAGTTACTGAGCTGCGGTTTTTACCAGTCGAAAGAGGAGATACCATGAGGTCTGTTTCTCATAGATTATATAAGACGAAATCATATTAAAATGAACCATTTTTACAAAATATCGAAAAAATGTATAAAAATGATCTGTTATTCAGATCACATTTTGGCAAAAGGTAAGAAGATTTGCTTCAAAATTAAGAGAAATCCATATTTTTTGAGGAATCAAATAGACAATTTTATTGGCTTAACATTAGGATGTGTGAAGATAATCATTCGAATTATATCTTAAACTATAGATTTGAAATGTCTCTATCTAAATCACATATCAAAACCAAAAGTTCACTGGAATGACAGACCGTTTTCATGCATTTTTTGCAGAAATGGTTGATTTTTAAAATGATTTCATCTTATATAATATTGGAGAAAAAGACGTCCCGATATCTCCTCTTTCGACTGATGAAAATCACAGCTCTGTAACTCTTTCTGTTCTTGAGTTATTACAAAAATACCCACCTTCATTCTTTTTTTACACAGACAATAGTTGCTTTTCATTCTATTCTTGAGCGTTGTAATAGTATCACGGGGAATTGCACATAAAATACATCCGTATGTATTGTTCATAGTTGTTGTCTACATCAAGCTGTATTCATCATTGTTCTGAACCACTTTCTATGCCTCAACAGACAGGACAATCAACAAACGCTTGCGATAATCACTTATTACATTCCTACTACTAAATGAAGACGTTTTCTTTTGTTCTGAAAAAGGAAAAATGGAAAAGAAAGAACTCCTTGTGACGTTCGTAGGAATTTTATCTGACTCGATGGAGTAAATGTTTGAATCGGTGGGTCTGTTTCTCTTTCGTACCACTCGAAATAAAAACAGGTGAATCTAGGCAACAAAGTTCCAAAGTACACGAGCAACTGAACGAGACATCGAAAAATTGTAAAGCCATATAAGAAAGTATCTTACTGAAGGATCAACAAAGAAAATCAAATATCTCACCGTTTCTAGGCTTTTTATTTGGTTTAGCATTGAAATGAAAGGTCGACAAGGAGAGATGCCTATCCGATAATGAAATATCGAAGATTCTATTATATAGGATCTTTTCTCATTTTAAATACACATAATATAGACATTATCACTCAGAACGCCTATGTTCCGATACAATACACAGAGAAACTATGAGAAATCCAGCAATTTCCTTGAGTCTGTCAACTATGGCGATGTTTTATTTAGTCATTGAAATCACATTTAATAATCAAAGTAGTGCAGATACAATAGTCAAACACTCGACGTAGAAGAGTATCAATTAGGTGTCAAATGCATTGTTTTACTTTCTTTCTGCTTCGAAGCAAGCTTTCCACAAACTCCTTCGCATCGATTGCACGAGTTTTTATACTTCGAATCACATTGCTTATGATTCCCTTCCTTTTTATTGCTGCCATGCACCAATGAAATACTT